AGTAGATTCAGACGGCTGACTTTGAAATTTTTCAGATCCTATTGTTGCTTTAACGAACTTCAACTAGGTAGATTCTTTCTCTTTTCATTTCCCTTCAAAACCCAAGTCTTTTTTGATGTTCGTGTCTCTTTCATAGCTGAGAACTTCATTTAGGCAAGCAGATCCGATGATCAACTATCTAATCTCTCCTTAGTGTTGTCCAATTCAGTCATGAGTTCCAAGATTTGATTTCTTTCTTTGCTAAGCATTTGGTAAAGGTTTCTTTTTGACGAACAATTATTGTTCTTTCTTTTTCAACGAACTATATCTTGGCACAAAGAGTGATTTCTTTCTTGTTCAGCTTTCAGATCTCTTTTCAATATTTTATATTCTGAACATGCATTGCTGGTTCCAGCTGTATCTGTATTTAGTAAGTTCTGACCTGGAGGCAACACATGTGACCTATTAGCATAGATTTAAGGTCGACAATTATAGAGGTTACCTGGTTGTCATCAGTTCTGTCCACCTCATTTGAGTTTAACTCATTCTCTTCATCTACACTCCAAGTTATGTTCATAGCTTTCTCGCCACGTATAAGGTAGGATTTTGCCTGAAGTTAATGAAGAACTTCTTCTTTTGATGTGGTTAAGTTTTCTAGCTTCTTCTCTTCTAATTGTTTTTCAGGAATTCCTTAAATTGTTTTGTGAGCATTGTCATCCGGTTATCATTCTCACTTTCATCATCTTCTTCCTCTATCTCAACCTCCTTGGCTTTAAAGGCTATTTCCAATCATTTTCCTTCTGTGAAGATGTAGCTCATAGATCATCAAGGATCCTACCAATTCTTCCACTTTCATGCTTTCTATGTCTTTGTTTTCTCGATAGCAATTACTTTGGAGTGGAACCTATCAGGTAATAATCTGAGATTATTTTTCACAATTTTACTTTCTAAGTATTTCTTTCCCAAGGTGTAGGCCAAGTTGGTGATGTCACTTAGTTTTGCATATAAATCTTTGAAGTGCTCATCACCTCTTATGGTTAATTGCTTAAATTCAAGTGTCAGTATTTGGAGTTTAGAGGACTTCACAATCGAGGTCCCTTCTTGAGCAACTTGTAATATGTCCCATGCCTCTTTAGCCACCTTGCATGTTGAAATTAAACAAAATTGATTAGCATCAATGAATGAGAAAATAACATTTAGAGCTTTAGAATTCTAGTTAGCACTATTATAATCAGTAATCACTCACTCATCTGTTCGTTTCTCTCTTTATGTATTATTTTCAATTATAGTTGAAGTCTTATAGTCATACACGATTGAGTGTCATGCTTTCTCATCTAAAGATTGAATATAGACTTGCATTCTTGTTTTTCAATACGAATAATTAGTCCCATCTAAGATAGAATGTCTAATCGGTATTTCGTCAATTACTAGATTTTATATAGATCTCACTTTTTGAAAGTGAACCCACTCTGATATCAATTGTAAAAACTAAAACCTAGTTAATTAAACAATTTGTCTCAATTACTCATTTTAGTCAGAATACGCCAGTTAGTCAAAACTTTCTATAGCCAGTTTTACGCACAAATCTGACTGGAACGCTTAACAGATTTGTGTTTTACTAGATATAATTTATTGCTTAATTAAATAAAGATGAACATCGGATATAACATCGTAAATCCTAAGGGAAACATCTACGAGCCCCATGTCACGATTAAAATAATCAATTATCAAAGATTCGGAAATACAAGAGTTTCCGTTTAGTAATTTTGCAAAATTAACTAAAACAATCAAAAGTAAATAAAGAACGCCTCCCTTGTTTTCTTGTTCCTTTTGACTTGTCGGAGAAGTGGAATCAAATTCTACGGTCTTCACGTTATCGCTGCTTCACTATTGTATTCGACCGCAACCACCCTTGGATTAAGATTCACCAATTTTAACTCACGTCAAGTAGCCCGATTTTTTAGTAGGATTATATCATTCACGCAGATGCGTGTTCTCTTCAATTACCGTCGAAGAACACGAGTTTTGCTTTGGGATACTTCACCGGAACATCAGCCGGTCATAACTCACTAGAAATGGTCAGAAGACTTCAAAACTTACTGCTGCAAGTTTACTGAACATAGACAGATTTTTCTCAAAGCCTTCGAACATCCCTTAATGATTTTCTCTACTTATGTAGAGACTCACTCAATGCACGAACGTGTCTTACCTAAAATATAAAAGTTTTATACGGTAATAATAATATAAAGTATATTTGATGTGGTCAATAATTAAATTAAGAAAAAATTTGATTTGTTAAAACAATTTTTCATTCTTTTAATTATTTGACCACAAAACCAACCCATAAAGTAAATATATATTTCATATATGTATAAAATATATTTGATATGGTCAATAATTAAATTAATGAAAGTTTTGATTTGTTAAAACAATCTTTTCTTTTAATTATTTGAATAATCAAACATATTCAAAATTGGTAAGTATATGTTCTTGTATATGCTGCGTAGGTGTAACACCCCAAAATTTCATTCATCTTGA